GTGTGTGTGTGTGTGTGTGTGTGTGTGTGTGTGTGTGTGTGTGTGTTTTCCTGCCAGCTTGAATGGGTCCACCTCCGGGTCAGAATACAATCTGAATATATTTTGTCTGTTGTTCCATCTGAATAACAAAGAGCTAAGTGCGCATTTGCACACATACACGTATCGGTGGTGCTTCCATTGTGTACGTGTGTGTGTCTGTGTGTGTGTTTGACTCTTTCACATGCGACAGTGGAGAGTGTGGATTTTACAAAATATTTTGCGGCTTCTGAGCTGAGGAGGCTGTTTGAAATGTAGATGTGCAGGCGGCACGTGCTGTATAAAAGACTTGTAAAAGGCTCCCATCCACGCGTGTTGGTGAGTCTTTGCATCTTTGTTCAAGCAGCTTTTCTACACGTTGATAACAACCACTATATAAAACCATTAATGCAATATAAGATTACAGCTGTTTTCTATACAAACCATGGGTGAGGTCACCATCCTGAACTCCAATCCTACGCCATTAGAATTTGTATTTATTAGGAATTGTTCTCTCAAATCAGGTGACAAATAACAATCAAGACAGGAAGCGATTAGGTGTGATTTCGCAACCAGAGAATGCAGAAAGTCAATGATATTTAGCAACTTGAGCCAACAGCAGGTGAAATAAGCGCTGATGATGTGAAGTGAGGCAGGTTGGTCTCGATTTGAACTCTTCTCAAGTTCAAAGCTGATTCCAAATTCAAGAGAAGCAGACATCTCCAAAACAGTCTCGAACAGAGGTCAGAGGAAGAACAGGTACATTCGATTTGAGGGTGACCTGTCCCTTTACGATTGTAAAGATGGAAGTATTTATAGCATCCGGTCTTTGGACATGAAATTGAAAGTGAAGCCATGACTAAAAATGATAATCGTTTTGATTGAATCCTGCACTATTTCTAAGGTTCGTGTGGGAGCATCAAATTTGTACCCTGGGAACCTTTCATAAATGAGGTCCCCGCTTCCCATTCGTCATTTTAATAGCATCAGCTATTTTTCTGCCAACTTCATTAGGGTTTGAAATTAACAGGAGTTGGGGGTAAAATTGAGATTGAGAGTTTATTAAATTGCACAGAAATTGCACAGGAACCTAACTTGTTATTCTCTTTGCCTCTTTTTTTTTTTCATGGCAATTTGATTCTTGCACATTTCTTAGCGTTTACTTGCGTCTGCGTTGTGCCCGCTTCTTTGTTTAATCTCGCATGGGCAGTGAATGCATTCAGCTTTGATTTAAACATGTGGCCATCATCTTTGTTGTTTCTTAACAACTCAATCTCGGGTGTTGTAGAAAATACATTCCTACTAAAATAGATCCACGTTCAGAGTTTTTTTTATCTTCGGGAAAGCAATGATAAAAGTATCACTGCTGCACTGAGCTGAAAGCCCTCTATCATCAGTCACACTCAGTTGTTAGCTAACTGTAAAACTCCCCCCTGCTGACAATTATACAGCAGAGTCTTCCCCGTCACCACTGCTCCGTAAGACTGTCGATTTTTAACTGTATCCACTTGAAAAGATCATTTTTGCTTTTATATAAAAAAAAAAAGGCCAAACTGGTGGGATTTTTTTAGATTTTCTGCCTCTTTCTTTGTCTCGGGTGTCTCCTGCCATTACTCGGGTTATGTCACATGCCTCCGTACATCCTGTCCTCTCCCACACAGGTCTATGACAGTGATTACCTTAACTGCCAGCCAGCGTTTGTTAGCACCCCGTCGTTATCTTATGCTGTGAGACACGGAGCGGCGGAGGCTTTCTACAGTAAGATGTGGGGGCCGATGTTAATAATGGGCCAAATACTCCAGATGTTCCTTTGACGTTTCTTTACCTCCTCGGAAAAACAAATGCTGGTATTGTTCATCAGGAGGGCTGCTAGCCTTCTCTGGTCTTTCCTCCTGTTTTAGTTACTTTGTTTGGGATTAAAACTTTATTCAGGTTAGCTGTCATGAATGTTTTTACTGGCAGAGGGCTCTGATGTGTCTGAGATAGATCAGATTCTGCAGATCAGCAGGTTTATCGAACTAAAACTAGCTGTGCAAAAACAAAATAAAAATGCGACTTTTATAAGAAAGAGAATTAACTGATATTGTGTTCTTACAAAACTGAAAAAATAAACATATACAGGAAATGTCTTTTTCAGTTTGTTCCACTATGTCATCACATCCTTGACTATCAGGGTTTTCTCTATTATTCTAAGAGAATTTTGGTTTTTGTGTGCTGATAAAAGCTGGTCAGTTCTTTCCTCACGGACACCAGCCATGATTTCTTAAAAGAAATGCAGATTTTATTGTTCACTTTTGTGCTTCACCTCAGTTCACCATCTTTGGCCCAGTGAAGCTTTTCTGAATCATGTTCATTTGATCATTTTCTTTATACGATTTTAACTTTTGTGGATGCAGTGTGAAATGATGCTCACTGACACTGGTTTTAAGAAGTGTTCACGAGCCCTTGCAGTTACTTCCACTACAAAATCCTGTCTCTTTTTATCGCAGTTTGGCCCGGGGCAGCTCAGTATTGTTTTCCAGCCTAGTCCCTCACATGCAGAGATTTCTCTGAATCATTTATTGATATTATGTATTCTTTCCTGTTTTGCGTTCTTCTTAAATCATGAACTATTTGCCCACAGTCTTTCGCAGAGCGTTGAACCCATCTCCACCTTTGCTTCTGGAAAAGTTTGATGTGGCTTCCCCAACTCATTGTTGCAATGCAAAATTGGCATTTATATTTTTTTTACAGCAAGTAATTTGACAGTTTTGCCATTTGATATGGTGTTTTTTTTAAATACAGGCTTTAACTCTTTTCCAAATTGCTCACTTTTAGTAGCGTCTGAACATATTTGGAAAAACACTTGTTGTGAAATCAATTTCTAAGCATAATATCTTCGCCCTGTCTTCCACTTGACCAAAGAGCAGTTGCAGAGAGCAAACACCACATTAATTTTCGCTTACAGACTCATCACCACCACTGTGTATATAGCACTGTCATCATGACAAATTGTGTGAGTAAATGCGTCAACGCTGTGATAATTTACTTAACTTTAATTTTTTCATGTAAACTGAATGTTCGAATGTTCATTATCTTGTTCCATTTCAGAACGAGCACTTTAATGTAATTTTGGACACCACTTTGCACTCTCCTGTTTTTTTTCCCTTTTTTTGTCATTTTAAGTGCTCTGAACTGTTGTCTCACTTACATGATTTTTTGTGCAGAAAGATTACTCTAATTCTCGGGTGGGTTTCTACCATTAATCGTCACGATAAAGATTAAAATATATCCACAGTGTAAAGTTGATATTTAAAAGAATTTCTCCCGAGGCGAGTGTTGGGAAACATGCCCTGAAACCCTCCTACAGGATTTACATCTTTTTCTGTGTTTTTTCTTTCTTTCTTTTTTTTTTTTATTGCATCCGTGAAGAAATAGGGAACGTGGACTGAGAAAAATCCCTGGCCTGCACGCCTAATTTCAGAGAATGAATCCGAGCTTAACATGTAATTGATTTGTCTTGGTGATATTTTGATCTTCAGTACACTTACTTCCTTCCCTCCTTCTCATGACAGTTCTCTGTGTGTGGAGAGGAAGAAGCCTGTTGTTATATTGATTTGTATCTCATGTTGTGTTCATGATTATCCCCCTGAAGACCACAGAAAAGTTCCTGTTACTAACACGTTCCATCTCTGGTGGCCTCCAGCTTTAAAGGACACTCATTGGGGTTTTTTTCTTCTTGTGTTCTGCTTTGAGTGGCTTTGCATAAATCATAGTTTCTTAAACTAGGCCGCGGTACAGCCATCCATTCTCTGAAATAAGCTACCTTAGCTCTGCTGTATTGCTAGCATGCTGTAGCGATAATCACAATCATAAGGTGATTATGGGGTTGCTTTCTGAATGTGAATTGATCCAAATGAGACCATCCTTCCAAACAGAAGATAAGACACACAAGATAACTTCTTAAAGTGGTTGTGTTGAGCTTATTTCCAGGGTCACATTAGCATCCTTTGCAGGATTCACAGTTCAACATAGCACAGTCCCTCAGTCGATCCAGTGACTGAAATAAGCCACTGTATCTCTTCCCATTTAAAGCCAACTTTCTTCTAATTGGCTAGCTCTCAGAAGCAGGAGGCTTGACAAGCACTAGGTTGGAGCGTCTGTGCTTGAGATGGCTCTGTTGTGGACACCTCTTTCTGATAGCAAACAGTTCCAAGAGTAGAAAAACTTTTGGCTCACAGGGATTACTTGCACATACAGTTTGTGAGTATATCTAGACAACTGTAAATAACAAAAGTGTAATTCGGCCTCTTTACCATCTTTTATTTCTGTTTCAGCTCCAGGAGACTGTAAAGAGAAAACTGGACAGCGCACGATCGCCCCTCAACGGAGACCAGAATGGGATCTGTGATGGAGGCAACTACTCACCGACCACCAAACGGGTACGGAAGGAAGGTTCCAGCGGCATGGACTCACTAACAGGACTCCCTAATAACAATAATAACAACAATGTGCCGCCCATCTCTCCACTGCATCACCAAATGGACATTAAGCCCTTACACTGCGGGCCTAACACTTCTGCCGGTAACAACACTACAAACAGCAATGGGAACCATGTAGGCCGGACATCGGATGAGCTGGGGAAGAACGGTGGCAGCCACCTTCCAGACATGAAGCTAAATGGCTCACTGGACTTGGAGGACAGCTTCGGCCTCCTCAAAGACTTGAAACAGGAGCCCCTGGATGACGGGGGTGGAATGGAGTCGTCTGATCCCCAGTCTCTGTCCAATCAGAACAAGCTGTTCTCTGACATTAACCTCAACGACCAGGAGTGGCAGGAGCTGATCGATGAGCTGGCCAATACTGTGCCAGAGGACGATATGCACGACCTCTTCAACGAGGACTTTGACGAAAAGAAAGAGGCTGAGTTTGGCAGGCCGGCAAACAATCAGACGCCGGGCCCACAGGAAGCAGCTGGGAATACGACAACAGCGGGAGGGGGGGCCGCGCCAGCAGCACTGCCTCCTCCTCCACCTCAGCCTCCACAGGGAGGCCCACAGGTTCCCATGGGTTCACCACAGGTCAGTATCAAGAAAGTCAACACGATGTCCACTGGAAGGGGTATTTAACCCAAACTCATAATCTAAGTCATGACCACCTCAGGTGAATCAGACTTCTGTATTTATTTATATGATATATGTCTCTCACTGTTATTTCTGAAGATAAAATTATAGCTCTTAGAGCGCAGTCGCTGCTCTTTTAAGATTTCTTCACTGATTCAACTTTTTGATCCGATTGATTTAAGTCCAAACTGGTTTTAAACTACTAATACCTGAATGAAGCCGTTAATTATGTGATCAACAAGAAACAAACCTGAAGTGGTTTCTAAGTGTATGAGAGTATTGATGTGTTTCATAAGCTACCTGTGAAGCATTTTGGTCTTACACAAGCAGCTTTTAGCAAAACACAAAAATGAATAAAGGAAAAAAATCTCTAAAGTAAGCAAAACTTCTACTTAGGAATTTGCTGCATTTCTGCAGTTCATTAATCCTCGATTGTATTCTCCGCATCCATCCAAGTGATGTAAATTGTGTCATCAGCTTGAGACCTGATTCCTGAGAGTCATTCCTGTTATGCTTCTTTGAGGTTAGATTGATGCACAGTTCAGTACAGAAATGATATATACTGCCCAACGGAATATAATCAGCCCGGAATGCAGGCCAACACAGAAAATGTCCAACTTTCTGGACATTTCTCAGCTGTTCTAACTGCATTAAAGTGAAGTTGGTAACACATTTGCCTAACATGTGGAAGACCTCTAGTTTGAAACTTGGGAGGAAACATAGGTCCCTGGGAGTGTTGTGTCAGTACGGGCATCTGGCATAAACATCTGTGCCATATGAAAATATGAAAATTCATCCTCTGTGACGACCTGTTGTGAATAAGGCTGCAGCTGAAAGAAGCTTCTAAGTAAAATGACAACTGCCTTGCCAGCTAAAGTTATTGGGCCTAGATGCTCTGTAGGCTCTGTGGTGGTCGCACAAGATAGATTAACTCTCTGTGGCGTTATTATGAAATACAGCAAGCAGTTTATCCGGTGGTTAGCAGTCTTCATTGTTACAAGCGTCTCTGTGAAGCTTAAATTCAGAAGCACAGAGGTTTCCAAATAGCACAGAGAGAGAAACAGCTGCTTCTATTTCATTTTTTCAGTTTTCTAGCGACACCTAGCACCTCAAAGACTCCAGAAAATCAAGCTTTGTTGACCTGTTGATGCCATTTCATGCAAGCAATGAGCAATGCAGCAACCACAGCTGTGGCTTCCTGGTCTTGCTGTAATTGGGGCAAACTTACAGTTACAAAGTAAACCTTACAAATGGAACAAATGCACTATCAGTTAACTTCATCGGAAGGTAAAGGCGACTTCCTTTTCAAGCCAAATAGCATTCAGCAGTAAACTGCTTGTTAGTTTAGCTTAGTTATTATGGCTATACACAAATTGTTTGGTATTTAAAATGTTTGGTACTCAAAATGGTACCAAACCCCATCCGTATAAAATTTATGGTGGCAATGGCCCATAAAGTCTCGAATGATCATTTTCAGTTTGCTTTTCGTATTCTGATTAAAAAATATGTTATGTAGAAAACTTGCAAGGTGCGAGCCTGAGCTAATGTCCTTTTGGTTTCTCCTCAGGTGCGACCATCTTCATCAGGCCCTCAGTTTGCCACCACTGCCAATGGGACGCCTCCTCAGCAACCTTTGCAGCAGTCTCCAGCCGTTGCTATGGCATCAGGTTCGCCATTGCACAACTGCGTGGCTCGCTCCCCTCAGACTCCAACCCAAGCTCAGACACAAGCAGTCTCTAGGCCTGGGAATGGATACATGATGAACCCGGGGCCAGGAGTCAGTCAGGCGGGCACTGGACCTGGAGCAGCGGGGATACCGCCTGGAAGTCAGTCTGTAGGACCAGTAACGCCTGAGCTTTCCCATGCAGAGCAGCTGAAAGCATTTGCTCAGCAGCGTAATAAAATGATGCAGAAGCAGCAGCAGCAGCAAGCAGCTAACTGGTCACCTGCAGCCGCTCCAACCAGTCCCTATAACTCCGCTCACTTTAACCACGACAAACCCAACAGCCCCATGATGTATCCACCGCAAGCCTTTAATACACCACAGGGCCCTCTAGTGGGTGGCATGGCCCCCAACAACGGTCCCAAAGCCCCCATGAACAACTACCTCCCTCACAACCACATGGGCATGATGGGCCAGCAGCAGCCAAACAGCATAAACCAGAACGCCCTGTCCAAACAGCAGCAACAGCAGCAGCAAACAGCAGGCATGTTGTCCTACAGCAACACCAAACCGCTGAGTCACTTCAGTGGCAGCGGGGTGGATCACATAGGTCAGAGAATGACCCCGCCCATGCCAGGGAACAGTCAGGTCAAGAACCCCATGATGCCACCTTATATGGGCGGTGCGGGAGGTGGTGGCCAGGGTCCGGGGCCGGGTCAGACGCAAGGGCCAATCCCAGGACAGACAGCTCACCTGAGTGAAGAGCAGAAGAGGATGTTACTGATGAAACAGAAAGTGTTGAACCAGAACATGCCCTACAACACCATGCAGCCTCATGGACAGGTAAGGGGACAGCTTGGCGTTGTTGGTCTTAAGAACATGGAGGTTGAATTATTTCCAAAGCAGTTCATGTGCAGTCAGTACTGTTGCTTAAACTTAAGTCCAGAGTGTTTCCATCGTCTGCAGGTTGTGTGGTTTGGAGAGTGGATGAATATTTGGACTGTCAGTGAATATCTGAGTCCAGTGTTTCTGGTTCTGTTTTCTGCCTTTATAATAATTCAGTTCTGTAAATAATGAACTTTATACATCGCCTCCCTCATTATTCTTGTGTTGAACTGCAGTTGAGAGTCTTACCATATATGACTAGCAAATGTACCACCAAGGAGACCTGGCATTGACTGGTTGATATTAAGTACTGTATATAAGTCAATGAGAAGTTTCTGACCCAATGCAAGACCCCGGAGTCCAGGCTGGGTAAGCTAGTTGAAGAGCTATTGGACTGGTCTGTTAAAGTGTTTGTGGCTTTGATTATGAGAGCATGTTAGGGAGAGAGGGAGGTTACAATAGACTGCATAAGAAAGATGTACATCGTCACCCATCGCTTTGGAAAGTCATGTTTTTGAGTACTGAGCTGAGGCATTTCATGAATGCGGGCAGATCTGACTGTGACACTCCAGCTCATTTGATAGCGACTTACATATCAGTTATCAGTTAAGCGTTTTCTCAAGTGAGTTGTGGAATTTTATTCTTTACTACAGCACACTTTTTTTTGCAAGCAGACAAATCGCCCCCTGCTGGTCATTAGAAACGTGCTTCTGCATTGGCTACCATACCTGGAAGCTACAGCCATCTTTTTCATACAGTCTGTGTGTCTGGGAAAATTCAACCTATGACCTTCTGCTCATCCTTTGAATAAGAGCTAAATAAACTCCCCGTGCACTGGAGGTTTCCTATAAAATTCATTTGAACCCCATTTTTAAGCAGAATGCCCAAAAAATGCCCCCCAAAATAGAGGAGCTAAGAGTGTTTGACCAGTTGCTTGGGACGTACTGCAGAACATGGATTGCTGTTTTAAAAAAAGGCTTCCAGAGGTGCAGCCAGGGAAGGTAAAATGGCGGTAGTTGCCCCAGCAACAAGCCAGGGCTGGGAATAGGCATAGGAAAATGGCCTGTCGAGAGTGTATTGATGCCTCTGCAACACTAGCAGCACTGATAGCCTCCCCCCACCTCCTCCCCTCAGACACACAAGCGCGCACACACCACAGCAAGCACCACAGCTAAACGGCTCCTTAGCTCATATCCCCAATCTGTCACAGCTGACTGATGGCTGAGATTGGACCACTAAGCCAAGCTAGCTGCTGTCATTACCGAAAGCCCACCTCGGGCAGTTTGTTTCCTGAGCCCGGCGATCAGCACAGCCCACTCTGAATGCTCCAGCGGTTCAGCCAGGTGTCAGGTGTCCTTAATAATCCACCGGACGGAGGACGTTTGAGTGTGGGTGGACTCTATCTTAACAAATGTTCACATACTCGAGTGAAACCTCACACTTGTGTGGCTCTGGCGCTCCTCATTATCTCAGGGCTGATGTGCGGTTATCAATAGAAATTGCGTGTGCGAGTGCTTGTTGATGGCGCACTTTACGTCTCTGTCTGTCTCCTTCTGCTCGCCATGTCCTGATGATACAGCTACAGTCAGTCAGTCACCTCCTCCTCCCCTCTGGTGATCTCTGCGTCTCCTGTCCTGCTCCTCCTCCTTCCTCCCCCTCTCCTCCCTCGTTCTCTGCCAGAGACACTCAGCACCAATAAAGGAGCAGATTTATTAATATGAGGCCTTTGTGGCTGCTGCCTGGAGCGCTGTGTGTTTGTGTGCGTGAGTGGGTCAGTGCACATGTATGTTTGAGTGTGTTGCATAGATTTTTTTGAGGGGGGACGGGTGTAAGGGGAGGGTGGAGAGATTTATTTGAGTTAGCAGAGGAGAGTTGGAGACCAGGAAGAGAGAGGGAGAGAGAGAGGAGAAAGGCAAATGCAGAAAGCGAAAGATTTATTATGGAGGGAGGATGGAGCATATTACAAAGAAAGTCAAGGGCCTGGAAAGAGAGAAATAAGTGAGCAATGCTGAGTGGAGTGTCTGAAATGCAAAATATTCACTTATCTACACGCGTGCAGCCCGACTGCATTGACTGTAATTAGCGAGTTTTATTTTTAGTGACACGTCTCAAATAAAATCAGCAAAATCAACTATAAAACGTTAAAACGTGGGACAAATATGTCATTTATTCTTTTTTTTTTTTACTAGGTGTAGCACTTGAAGGGAAATTTCACAGATTTCAGACACCGAGATCACTTCTTAGGTCATTTATAACGCTGCTCAGCCTGTGAAAGCAACATATAATTGGTCTCTTATGATTTCTCCAAACCTATCAAAGTGCAAAACAAAATCTCAAGAATAGCTTAACTGTAATCAGTGTTACTGAGGTGGGTCGTATTAGATTTAATGCCAATTGGCAATATTGTTGTGCCAGTTAAAAAAAAATGTCTAGTAATCTCAGTTTCTTAGTTTTGGACTTTCCAACCATCTGTGCCCAAACTGTAGGCCCAGTGGATAAAAAGCTGCAAAATTCCTTCAGCATGTCATGGTGAGAACTCTTGAAAATAATTACAGCATATGCCAAAAACAACAAATTAATAGTCCTGGAAAAAAGATCGCAGCTTATCTCCCCTACTATGAATCTGAACGGGGTATTAAATGCACATGCTCTTTATGGGAAAGACAGATAATAAGCGGTGTTTATTATAATTATTGCTTTCAGGTGTATTCGGTAGTTTTCCCACTGCAAAGCCAGCATATTGCTGAGTAACCAGTTGCATTATTAGTAGCAGCTTCATCGCTGCTTATCCTTTATTTGTCCCGCGCAGCTAATGCAGAGATCACGTGATGATTAGCTACTTGTTTCTTTGCACCAGTATTAGTATTGGGGCAACCGTGGCTCAGGGGGTTGGGAATCGCATCTGTAACCGGAAGGTCGCCGGTTCGATCCCTGGGCTCTCTGTCCTGGTCGTTGTGTCCCTGGGCAAGACACTTTACCCTACTGCCTACTGGTGTTGGCCAGAGGGGCCGATGGCGCGATATGGCAGCCTCGCTTCTGTCAGTCTGCCCCAGGCAGCTGTGGCTACAACTGTAGCTGCCTCCACCAGTGTGTGAATGTGAGAGTGAATGAATAGTGGTATTGTAAAGCGCTTTGGGTGCCTTGAAAAGTGCTATATAAATCCAATCCATTATTTCCTCTGTGTTAAATGCAAAATATCATCCTGTTCTTGGAGTTCTTTAAAGATGATTGTGTCTGACGTATTCAGATAAACCACAGTGTGTTAAATCTGCTGATGACTGTCAAAGCTTGATAAGGAAGAGGTTAAGGAGAGCTGAAGTGAAACCAAAACATCTGGGTTCTGCTCCAGAAGAAAAGCTCTTTTAAAATCCCACTGACACTTACAGCAAGGCTACAGAGCAGGGCACCAAATACGCAGAAGACTTCTGAGTTTAGATCCAGAAAGATGGAAAAAGCAAAACAAGTAACCAACACTGAAGTGTCCATCAGTCTTAGCTGATGATAGCTGAGTCGTAGCTCAGTTTTTAACTGTAATCTGTAACTTTTTTCAAATTATGATGTGAAGTAAAGAGGAGGTTTGGCTTAGAATTTGAGGAGAAATCTATAATAAAAGACCATTGAAAGAAATGCTAAATAGGATCTTATGACTTCATCAATCGGCAAACTTATGATCCGAAACGCTTGGGGTAAATTGGGCAGTGTGTGTATCAGCTTGGATGAAGTATGAAGCTTCTTGCGGTCGACTTCTCAGTGCTGGAGAAATCGGCTGGTGAAAGCACGGATGGATGATCGGTTAAGAGAAGCTCAAAAAACTGCAAGGCTTGTGGAGTAAGGCCACGGTCTCGTGTTTGTGTTTGTGTAGCTCTATGGCCACGTAGGGAGAGCGATTTTAACCCGTTCAGAGAATCCCGTGAGTTCTCCAAAAAGGCAACAACACATTTTGCGGCCTGGTGGCCATGACAATAAGCGTAAGTTGAATGCCGATTGGTTGAAAGTTCACTTGCACAGGAAAGGTAGCCACAGCGGAGTTCACCGCAAAGAGGAAGAAGCACCAAAATACACCAAAGCTCAAAAAAGCTCAGACAGTGACTCTGCTTCTCATCCATGGACCGTTTTCAGTTTTCTTACTTTTAGTTCTTTACTAAGAAGTTCTTAGCCTCAATGAGAGAACGTTTTTTTAATGCTTCCCCCATGTGAGAGTACCCAGGTACAGCATGCAAGGCCTGGGTAGCAACTTTTCTTTGCCTTTTACCATGATGGGACCTTTAGTGAAACTCACCATGAATCAACAGCACAGTGTGAGGAATGGAAATTTCCTCACACTTTCCTTTTACATAGCGCTAAACGATTGGAGAATTTTCTTTATGTCAAACATTGCGGTTGTCCGATCATTCCCCTGACGAGCCAATCATCTGCTTTATAAGAGCACCATGGGACACAGACCAGCAGACGTTCAGTTTTTGACACAACCTTGTTTGTTAGCGTTCTTGATCGAGTTGTTACCAAAGACCTTATTTTAAGGCTAAGCCACCAAATTATTTTAAGCTTTTTGTTTAAATGCTCTGGCTGGATGCACGTTGTTCGTTATAGTGTTCCCCTGCTTTGCAAATATTGCTTGAGCTTCATTTTCAGATCCTCTCTCATTTGCTGAATTAGAGGTGCCGGTGGTTGTTGACTTAAATTAGGCCCAGTTAATGAAGTTCTGTTACTTTACAAGTATAAGTGTCCTCGAGTGTTCAAATACTTTAATTATGTTTAATTGGTAGAAATACTCCTTCTTAATGTCTGTTTGCTGCAGGGTTTGTATTCACTTGAAAAATCGGTAAAAACGTGCGTTTGTATTTGTGATGGGAGTCTCTCTTTTTTTTCGTTCCTAGCCGTTATTCTCTTTGTCTGCGTTGGTGTGGATGCTAGCCTTTAGCTTGGTGTGTGTTTGTGTGTCTGTGTTGGCTCACAGG